GTCTAAGTATAATGTGTACACTTAACATTAATACATAACTACTTTTCCAAGTCCAATAGTTCACCTTAGTTAGCATTTCCATTAATTTTCTTTGAACTGGTCGACTCCAAAATAGTACTACTAGTAGTAACAAGAATACATAGTATAATACCACCAATTAAGTGTAAATCTCATTTAAAACCTAAGTAATTATCTTTTACAGAAAATAACTTGAACCAGTGATTAGATAAGGTTTCTGATCGACGTACTACCTCTATTAATTCTAAAGAAGTATTACTTTGTATATACATCAAAATAATACAAAAAATAGATTATTTTTGTCTATCGAAGACAACATATTTTACAGAATTTTTAATTTAATTCACTCATTTGAAATTTTTTATGTTTTTATTTAGTTACTCTAATGTTTGGTGTAAAGATGGCTGATCCATAGTTTATGTATTGAGTTTCAACCTGTGTTACTTAAGGGTCGCATAGTGATACTATTCATCTAGTTTAATTTCTTAACTTTGTTTTCACCAGAAAAAGATTAGAGGAGGAATTAAAAGTGTTCATTTTCAATCTAAAGAACTAAAAATGCTTTCTTTATGAAATGCTATGGATGATTTTTATCGTAATGCTTTTCATGTCTTGTTTTAAGCAAGTATTAGTTTGATTCAAAACTCGCAAAAATAAATACTCTCTTTGTCCAATATATAGAATGAGCTCGGAGGAAAATACATATTTAATTCGATACAGGAATTACAATTGAAATGAAAAAACAAAATTTAAGCTTTTTCAAAAAAAATTGAAAAGAAAATTCAAGCTTAATTTATACCAAAATGTCCACTAACCAAGACGAATTAGCTCCAATTAATTTTAGGTGCATGAATTGTATCTAACCATCGCCTCACTTTGATGGCAAAGTTTCCATATGTTAGTGTAATTGCCCTATTAACAATCAATCCATGATTATTCTTTTTCAGCAAGAGGAACAATTCTTAAAGAATAACATTGAACTGACCGACGTGTCTATTCCTAATTTTCCATTCACTATCAAATCGAAAGAAGACATTGTCTAACGATTGCTATAGACCAAAAAGGGGGGAGAACTATCAATCGATTACACTCTCTATAAGTTGCAAAAAGTTTTTCAAAACCATGTCATGATGATCTAATTAAATGTATCACCTACCCTCAAAAACATAGTATCATGAAAATATACTTTTTAGAAATGAAATACCGACTGAAGTGTTACATGTAAAAGAATGGACGTGACTTAATAATTTTTACTCGCCATATTGTATTGTATTTTTTGTTGCTCTCTTAATACACATTATGACATTTTTCATAATTACTCACTTATAATTTAAGTGTGTTTGTCTCCCCGCTTAGAACATCTCGTCAATTAATAATTATAAACCCCCATGGCCAAAAACAAAAACCAAAAATATATATATATATATATATATATATATATAACGGAAAAAGAAGAAGAAATGTATGCTCTATTTTATCATGAATCATATTGGGATGGTTTCAAATTGATTGCAAAAAATTCTGTTTACTTTCCTTTTGGTCTACATGGAGGCAACGCATGCAAACCGACCGCAAAACCGGGTTCAAATATCAACGAAGCCGAAGTGACTAAAGCACAGTGTATGAAGCTACGTACAGGCAAATGACAACTGACACGTGGCGGTCACATTCCTTCGAACCTGGCCGCAAAATCTGAAACGGTGTGTTCAGGGAGTCAGTCAAATGATCCGTCAGTCAGAGGGGCAGTAAAAATTGAATGAAGCAGAGAACAAAAGTTGTTTTTCTTACTGCCATTTTGATCTTTTATGATTTTTTTTTTTGAGCCCTAATATAGTAATAAAAATTGGTCAGTCAATAGAACGAATCCCCACCTCCCAACCCTCTTCCCATTCAATTCATTTCATTTTCTTTCCACAATTTCCAATGCTTAATATTCATGCATTTCGACAATTTTGTAAAAAAAAAAACAAAACAAAAAAAAGAACTCCATCATCTTCCCTCTTCTAGTTCATACACACTGTAAGTTTTCAAGTTCTTTTTTAATGGCAAATTCATCCTTATCTTTCTTCTTCTGGTTTGATTCATGCTGCGTTTTTCCACCCTATTTTTTCTTCTGAGAAATTTCCCGTGTTCTTATTTTTTTACTATGTGCTATGTTATAATGATTTACAGTCATTTTTCTAGTATTTCTATTCGGTTGATGATGCTATCTTTGTTTTTCTTCCTTTTTTTTTTTTTGATTGACCTCTGTGATTGTTTGTACTTGTTTTGGCCATTTGAAAATTTGACTGTAGAATTTGTCCCGACAATTGCAGGTCATACTTGTTTCGTTGATCAGCTTTTTTTTTCTTTTCTTTATTGGGAAATATTTGCAAATATAGTATAGTATAGTTGAAGACGAATTAGGTCAAGTTGAGTTTATAAACAATTTGGTATATCTCATATATTTGTGGATTGAATTCGTAGAGCCTGATCAGCCTTTCCATTTTTATTCTTTTTTCTGATAGAAAATGGCCAAATTCTACTTTGCATAATCCAGTGTTTCCTTTTATAAACATCTGGGGTCAGAAAATCTATTGTTAACCTATGATATTCTAGCTTTCCCTAACCCTTTTTAAGATTTTGTGAAAAGGGGGAAAAAAAAATTAAAAAAGGAATCTCGTTTCAGATGCTTCCCATATTATATATTGAATTTGTTTCAATATACTAGGAAATAAGATTCTAGGAGAGAGTATATTTTCTTAGATTTTCATCTATTTGTTTTATATTTTCTTAGATATTCATGTGCAGATCATAGTTGAATGGGTTTCTGGATTTTAAATTCTTTTATTATATATAATATATATATATATATATATATATATATGCGGAAACATCAAACATGGTCTTTGAAATAGGTTTGACTGACAGTCAATCTCTGAGTGGAAGACAGAAAGCAAGAAAGAAAAAACAAAGAATGCTGATTAGAGCTTCTCCACGGTCCTATACCTAGTTTGTTGAGGACATGCACTGCAGAAACTATTAAACTAATCAAATCTTCATTTTTTATTTTTTAATTAATTAAACTATGATTTTTTTGACGAATGCGATTCCCAATTACATGGTCAAACAGATTTTCTCTACTTGGAAAACCCCAAATCAAATCGACTGAATCCGTTCTGATTCATCAGATTCAATATGTTTTCCTTATTCAGCGTAAACCCTCTGAGATGTCGTTTTGATTTTTGAAATTCATCGAGTGATTCATACATACTCATTTAATAATTTACTCTCTCTACCTTTTAAAATATTTTTTCTTTTTGTTTTTACCTTTTTTCCTATTTAATTTGTCGGATATTCTTAATATAATACTGCATGTCCGTACACATTCATCTTTGACACATGCATTTCTACTCGGGGATATCCACACATTGGTCTTTTTCAACATGAGCATATCACAAGTTCACGTAGAGGTTCATGTACAAAAATTTCTTTTATAACTTGATTTGATTACATTTTCTACTATTTACTATGATTTGTACATTTATAATAGCTTGCATTATGTCAAAGATTGAAAAGGACCCAATGATCCAACCATTTTAAACTTCATTTTATCATGCGAAACGCTTGGCATAACATGAGATTATCCATTTCATTTGTCATACAAACTGACTTCGTTTTGTTAGTGAAATGATATTAGTTTATTAAATATAGGTTTATATTGATAGATGGAAGTATAAAATTAATATGGATCGATGAATTGACTAAGAGCAGAAAAGAGAGAAAGTCCCTTTTGTTATTAGCAACGTATATGAACACAAATAGTATAAGCATGATAGAGTAATGTAGTGTGTGGTTACATTGTGAGTCTATATTCCTGCAACATGGCATACACAAATATATAATGTTGTTTTTGTACTTTTAGACTTTATATAACCACACACTACATTACTCTATCATGCTTATAATATTTGTGTTCATATATGTTGCTAATAACAAAAGGGACTTTCTCTTAGATTCATCTACCAATTCCAGGAGGATATTTGCACGAGTGAGAGAGGAAGATACATAGGTCGGTAACTTTATAAGTGTGTGTGTGTGGACAGTAAAATAAGATAGTAGTTTTTTGATTTGGTGAAGTGTGGGTATGCTGGGCTTTGGGGTGTCATTTATTACACAAAACAAGGTAGAGAGTTCCAATAAACCCAAGTGGGGTGTGTTGGGAAGGTTTTAGGGTGGAGGAGGAGGGTTGGCTAAGTTTATTGGATTCTTCCAGTTGGAATTGTAGGTTTGTCTTGGTACAAAATCTGATGGACCACAGCCTTTTCTTTTTCTGTTTTTTTTTTTTCATTTTTGGTATACTGTTAATACACTCGTGCCCTTCTTATTTATTTTATTGCTAATGTAAAAGATGCAAAATAGTAATAAAAGGTGATAAACTTAGGACCATATTTGGGGTATTGGAATTCGCTGAAGATCAGACTCTGACTACTGCAAATGTCCATATAACGGAAAGGGTTTTTTTTTTTTTTTTTTTTCCTTTTCGGGTAGAAGAAACTTGAAGTGTCAGAAATTGTTAGATTACTACTCTTTTTGATTTATATACCCTTTAAACCATGTTAGTAATCTTTCTCTTTTTGACTCCTCTCCTGCTCATTATCTCTCTCATTCTTCAATGAACCATAAATTCTTAAGGAAAGAGAGAGAGAGAGAGAGAAAGAGAAAGGTAGAGAGAGTAGCTGCAATTTATACTAACCTCTTAAACTAGGTAGGTTTTAAAACTTAAAACCATTTTAATGTCAGTCTGAATCAGTTGCTTTATATACTACTACATGACAGTGGCTCTTATCATTATCATTATTGTTTGGTTTCTCTTATCTGATGTTTCTCTTTTTGGCATATATATATAAATCTTAATGCAGGATTTGATTCACTGACAGTTGACAGAGAGTTCAATCTTCCAATCTGAGTTATTCTGATTTTTTTTTGGAAGATTCTAAAACATGGGATCAATGAATTCAAACAATTGGCTTTCTTTTCCACTCTCACCAACTCATTCTTCCTTACCTCATCATCTACAAACTGCTCAATCCCATCAATTCTCTCTTGGTTTGGTCAATGAAAGTATTGACAACCCTTTTCAAACTCAAGGTATATATATTTATGTCTTTTTTTTTCTCAACAAATAATCTAAGCTAGTTTTCGGAATTATTTTGTTTGGTATATTACGCACCTGGTGACTGAAATCATTGATCGAGTATTTTATGGTTGTTCTTTGCCATGTAGAGTGGAATCTGATTGGAACTCAAGGCAGCAATGAAGTCCCTAAAGTGGCTGATTTCCTTGGAGTTGGGAAATCCGACCATCAAACCCAATCAGAAATCGTGTCCTACGGCGAAATCCACCAGTCAAGCGATCATTCCGATTACTTATTCTCAAACAATAGCTTAGTTCAAGTACAAGATACGTTGACCGTCGCGGCCGCAACGGCAGCAGCTGGTGGTCAAAGCAACTATGAACTTCAAGAAAACGGTAGCTTGACTTTGTCAATGGGGAGCGGAAAAGGTTCTTCAACATGTGAAACAAGTGCAAGTGTTGATAACAGTAGTTCTAATAGCATTGTTGAAGCTACACCAAGGAGAACTTTGGACACTTTTGGTCAAAGAACTTCTATTTACCGAGGTGTTACAAGGTTTGTTAGCTAGCTAGGCATCGGGAGTCACTTTCTAAATTAGTTGATTCCTAGGTTTCTTCTTCCTTTGCTTTTTATTTTATTCCAATACATAACAAAATCGAGGATTTAAATTTTTTAAAACTATTTTCAACATTAATTTCAGGCATAGATGGACTGGAAGATATGAAGCTCATTTATGGGACAATAGTTGTAGAAGGGAAGGTCAATCCCGCAAAGGTCGTCAAGGTAATATTTTTTCTTTTTGTCACCTTTATTCATACACCTTGTTTTATTTTTATCGTATATATACATGAAAAAGAAATGAATTTTTCTGACTTGGTTTTCTTTTTCCCTTCTTTCCATTGGGGGCTGGAATTCATTGGTGCACTTCATATTTCAGTTTACTTGGGTAAGCTATCGTCAATATATTCAAACTTGAAGTGATCAATTTAGTTTATCTCATTCTGGTCTAATTTGAAACTGGGATCTGAGCAGGAGGATATGATAAGGAAGAGAAAGCAGCTAGGGCTTATGATCTTGCAGCATTGAAATACTGGGGCACCTCAACCACTACAAATTTTCCAGTATGTAAGCCTTTTCGTTCTTTGTTTCTTCATTTGATTCATGAACTCCAATCTCTGACTAGTAGCGAAAACTAAGCTGGTTAATGTCACAACGTATGAACAGATTAGCAACTATGAGAAAGAGCTTGAGGAAATGAAACATATGACCCGCCAAGAATTCGTTGCATCTATTAGAAGGTAATCCTAAGTAATGATTTACTTTGTTTCTGTATTTGGTCTTGAGTTTGAGAACTTTAAGGTTTTCATGCATTATGTCTCTTTGGAATCTAATTTCAGGAAGAGCAGTGGGTTTTCTAGGGGAGCTTCCCAGTATCGAGGAGTAACAAGGTAAACATTTTGTTAATTATGATTTCATTTTTGTTCTTCCTTTTTGGGATTTTCCCATGGATTTGGCCAAGACGTTTTTCTGTGGGGGATTGGATCTTCTCTATCGATCTGTCTCACAGATGTTACGTGAGCAGGCATCATCAGCATGGAAGATGGCAAGCTAGAATTGGAAGAGTTGCCGGAAACAAAGATCTCTACCTCGGAACTTTCAGTAAGCACTTCTACCACGCCATGCATAATATTTACTCCCAAAGTAATTGTTGACTGAAGAAGTATAATTTGCATATTATTTCAATGCAAGCTCTCTTTTTCGCCCTTTCTTTCCTTGTTTCTATTGGTGTTTTTGGATACATTTAGAGTGACAGAGTTTAAAATTAGAGTCATGGACGATCGATCTTGGGCTAGTACAATCCCTTTCACAGATCATCATTTTCACTTTTGAAACCAATTGCACGTAATGCAAGCCTCATGCATGGGTAAAATTCATTAAGACTCATAGTTAACAACTCTTTGACCAATTTTCAATTCAAAATGCATCTCATATAGTTACATGGAAAAAAAAAACACCACTTAAAAGAAAAAGGATTTCTCTGAATTAGAATAATTTATATGTGCATCCTTTGGATATAAATTATATGATAGTCATATAAATTCACAAAATGATGAGAAATATGTTTACTCCCTCCGTCCCATAATTATTGTCCAGTTTGGGTTTTCACTTTTAGTACAATTTGTTTACTCCCTCCGTCCCATAGTATAGTACAATTTGTACTAAAAGTGAAAATCCAAACTGGACAATAATTATGGGACGGATGGAGTACTATATTATGTTAGTGCCAGTATTTTGGAGTCCAAAGATAAGCTCTTTTGGTTAACTTTTGTTTCCTGATTTTTTTTTTTTTATTTCATTAGTATAAAACAATTTAACCAACCTACCATAAACTAAAGTTGTTCCATACAATAAAGGATCTATATTACTTCCTCCTCGTTCCAAAATTATTGTCAACTTTAAGATTTCATTTTTAGTACAATTTGAACTATAAATGAAAAACCAAACTGGACAATAATTATAGGACGGAGGGAGTACTTGCTAACATTTATGGTGATTTTGTTCATCTAGGCACCGAGGAAGAAGCAGCAGAAGCATACGACATCGCAGCGATAAAGTTCCGGGGCCTGAACGCCGTCACCAATTTCGACATGAGCCGGTACGACGTAAAAGCCATTCTCGAAAGCAACACCCTCCCAATCGGCGGTGGAGCCGCCAAGCGTCTAAAAGAAGCCCAAGCCCTGGAAACATCCCGGAAACGGGACGAAATGATAGCTTTAGGCACAAGTAGTTTCCAATACGGCAGCTCATCGTCCACCGGAGTCGGAATAGGAGCTTTACAAGCCTACCCTTTGATGCAACAATCACCGTTCGATCATAACTCCGCGTTGCAAAGCCACGAGATCTCGCAGTTCTCGCAGGATTCGGCGTACCAGAGTTACATCCAAACTCAGCTTCAATTGCAACAGCAAACAAGCCATCATCATCAACATCATCATCACCCTTATGGGTTTTATAATTATCATCAGCTTCAGGGAAATGGTGGTAACCCGGTTTTGTTGCATGGGTTGATGAATATGGGTGGGTCATCTTCGTCGGTGATGGAGAATAATGGGAGCTCAACTGGGAGTTATAGCGGCGGTGGTGGCGGAGGAGGAGGGTATTTCGGGAATACGAATTCTGGTGGGAGTGGTGGCGGAGCTGGTGGTGGATCGGCGGAGGAGCTGGCGATGGTTAAAGTGGATTACGATATGCCGTCGACGACTTACACCGGTTGGTCTGGGGAGTCGGTTCAGGGATCAAATCCAAGTGTATTTACAATGTGGAATGACTGAGGAGAGTTTTTTCTTCTTTGGTGGAGAGGAATGGTAAAATTAGAGATGAAGAAGTAAAGATGGAAAACATGTGGCTTCTTCTTCAGCAAGTTTGTTTTTAATTTTTATTTTATCTTTTTCTCTTTTTGGTTTTGTTGACTTGTTTTTTATGCTTTTGTTCAAATAGGGATAAATAACTTGTAAGGGGATGTTTCTCTTTTGGGTTTAGAGAGCTCAGTCTCGATGAAATAGTGGCCGGAATTTAGTTAATTTTCGTATGCTTCCCTCCAAAAAATGGTTATTTCTCTTTAAAAAGGTAAAAAATAACCAAGAAAAAAAAAGATTTTAACAGTCATACAACCTTATCTAAACAATTATTAAACTGGATAACCAGAAGTACCCCCTTCATTCTATTTTAAAAAATCGATTTTACACATTATGAGAAATTGGACGAGAGAATCAATACAGTGTAGCAACAAACAAGATTTTTAGGCCATCTAAAAATGAACATTCTTTTTCTAAGTAATATGTCAGTTTTTCTTTTTTAAAAAAAAACCTATTGTTTTTCTTCTTTCAGGCATTGCATACAAAAGTACTAGGGTGTAACGTCGTAATAAAAAGAAAGACAGCAAAGCCATAAATCATAAAAGCTTGTGTTTGTCCTGTGCGTATAACTCCAAGGCAGAAGTGCACGATTTATTTGGAAAGGAGATCCTGTAAATAATGGTGTTCACCGGAGATCGTGGAAAAAGTTGAGCAAATCTCAGTTTCATGGCGGCCTTGACCTTAAATCATTAAAAGAATTCAACCAAGCCCCATTAGCAAAGCATGCTTGGAAGATCATGTCAAATACGTACTCATTACTTTCCAGGCTATACAGGGGCAAAGTATTGTAATAATGAAGTGTTCTCGACAATTAAATCTCCTTCTAATCCATCTTGAGGGTATACAAGAATTTTATGGGGTGCTGAGTTACTTAAAAATAATGCCTAATGGAAGGTGATGTCAGGACGGAACATCAAACTGGCGGATGATTGGATTCCTGATAATTCCAATCCTATACAACCATCCTCATTCACTGCTTTACATACTCAATTGAAGATCAAGGATTTCATACGTCAAGATGGTCAATGGAAACTGCCTGCACTCAGGAATTTCTTTTCAGAATTGTTAATTCCAGCCATCACAGGTATATTCATTGATCCGGCAAAACAGAATCATCCAAACAAACTCCTGTGGACTAAAGAGAGGCATGGGAATTATTCTGTTAAATCAGGATATCATCAAGCCATTAACCTTCACAAGCATCCAGACAACAACTTATCTCAACCAGCACCCAATGCTGACACTCAAGTTTGGAAAGCTTTATAGAATTCTTGGGTACAACCCAAGCAAAAGATGATGGTCTGGAGAGCTTTGTGTGAAGCAATGCCTACCAAATCAAGTTTACAAAAGAGAGGTGTAGTCTCAGACATATGTTGTCCTAGATGCACAACGAATACTGAAACCAGTATGCATCTCCTCTTAGATTGCCCTAAATCTCGGCCAATCTGGAGATTAGCTTCCCCTTCCTTTAATCAGGTATTCAATCATCAGAGTGAATCGTTATTGGAGTGGTTCTCACAATGGATACACACACAAATCCCGGAATGCTGGCTATAGATCAATTCATAATAATTTGCTGGTAGATATGGAAGGGGAGAAATGACAAGATTTGGTGGAATCAACTATTCAACCCGATCAGTCAGTGGCGCCAAATTGGAAATGAATTTGAATTACACAACCGCCACCAAAACACTGGTCGACCACAACACCATGACACCTCTAATGAACATGCCTGTGCAATTTTGCTCTGTGATGGTTCTTTTGACCCATTCACAAAAAAAGCGGCAGGAGCTTAGAAACTTATCGACTAATAACATGGTCATGCAAGTCAAAGCCACTACCCTACAGTCTCTTTCTCCGTTTCAGACGGAAGCTATTACTTGTTTATCGGCATTAAAGGAAGCAATCAATTTCGGAATTGATAGGTACAAGATTTTTACAGATTGTGAACTATTCACTCTGGATCTCAACAATCCATCAATTTCGATTGAAGCACAAGAAATTATTGATCTTTTACGTAATTTAAGTTCTACGCTAAGTTTTTGTAAAATTATTAAGGCAAGCAGGCCAGTAGTAAAAGAAATGGATCGACTAACTTATAACAAGATGCATTGTAATAGGTTAGGTATTAATTAATATTAACAGGTACTTTATCAAAAAAAAAAAAAAAAGAAAAACTTCAAGGTAAATAAACTCTTCAAGATATACTGCCTCAGCCAAGGGCAGACCCAAGTAGACGGGAGATGAGGCAATTGCCCCAGTTGGATTTTCTTTGCCCTTAATTTATCCCTAAATTTATCCAAATTTGACAGTATTTTTTATCTTTGCCCCGGTGAAAATTTAAAAGACAAGGGGCATAAACAAAAATTACAAAGTAACTTTTATGTGGAGGAAAATTTTTTAATAATGGGTTGATTTTCATGTTTTAATTATTAGTCAATGACTGCAATGTTGTTAACAATTATTCCAAATTTAACTTCAGAATTGATTTCTCAATCTTTTAAAATCCCTCTTCACCTGCATTTCCATCTTCCTAAACACACATACCTTTAATCCATATTTTCACTTAAGGCTTCATAAAAATGGAAAGAAAAAATCTCGATTCTCTTTTCTCTAGATCGATCTATCTAGTTATAATTAGAACTCTCTCTCTTTTTCTATGGAGTATCTAGCTCTTTTATTAAGAAAAAAAAAACCTTAATTTCCTATGCCATTGTGAGTTTGTAATTATTGGTGACAAATTAAAATTTATCCGCCGCATTTTTTAAGAAAACATGACTTGTGGTGGAGAAAATTTTTAAGAACTTTATTATAATTGTCAGACCGGGATTTAAAACCGGACCGGTATAAGTAGGGGGTTATTGGGTCACTGGATTAACTCTGTTATCCCGGAACAAAAAACCGGATGATATCATCAAGATGTCAAAAATACATATTTATTTTAAATATATCAATAATAATATAAAATGTTTATTAAGTAAAAAAAAATCAAGTTAAAAAAAATCACAGAGGAATGAATAGTTAAATTCTACTACAGATTTAATACTATAACCACTTAATAGTACTGAACAAGAGAGAGAACAAAAAAAAAAAAACTAACTCTAAAAAAAACAAAAAGTGGGATTGGATTTGGGGGAGACGTTCGTATCGGTTCACGGTCCAACCACCAATCTTGATCGAATTTGACCGGTTAACTATTGTAGCGGGTCTTGCTTCTGATTGGCCCGCTCTAGGAAGCGGTTCGAGGTTAAACTGGTCAGACCTGTCGGTCCGGTCGGAGTCTGACAATACTGTTTTTTGTAGTGATATCCTCCGTCCCATGAAAATAATTTATATTTTAAATTACACCGTTTGTATATAATTCAATTTATAATTTATTCTGTGAACTATTTTGTGAAATAAAAAGTAAATTTTTTTTTATGACGAACATTTTTCAGGCGTTTATATATATATATATTGCCCAACCTAGCGTTGGAGGATTGGTTTCGTCCCTGACTTCAGCAATCTTAAATTCTACTTCTATTGAAAAATGAATGTCCTAGCAAAATGCTTCTCCATTTTGACACGAACACAACACTATATTTGGGTCGGGCCGACTGTTGACAATGGTTGCATATCTTGGCTTGTGGTGGAGCTAGAATTCTAAATAGAAGAGTAAAATGACACTTTTTTTTGTAAATTCATATAGCAAGGGCGAGAATTCTATTGTTACAATTTTAAACTAAAAGTTAAAATAGTTGTTAATACAAAAATTTAGGAGAGGAGGGCAATCAACCCTAATGGTCTCATGTCTTCGTCACTGATCTTGACAGTTATAAAAATTCTTCATTGTAGCCCTATGTTAAACAAACGCATTCTTCTTGCGGGTAAGAGTTCGACCTCGTTATTTAACATTCGAAAGAAAATCTTAATAACCTTAAATAAAGTAATCTAACTATAATTGATTTCTGACTCTCAATAAAGGGAAAGTAGAAGAGCGAGAAGTCTCTCTCTCTTTCTCTTCCTTGCGTATACACAAATAAGTGGATCGGATGAGTTTGACGAGTCCAGATTGAATCCTAAGCTTATTGGGCAGAGGGTTAGATTACTTAAAGACTAAGTCACTGCCTAACCTATTCCGACTAGGTTTACAGAAACAGGTAACACCACCTCTATATATAGAGGTAGTGCCTTTCCCATAATATATATCTTCTACCTCTCTTTTACACACGCACACAACTTCTCTCTATTCTCTCTATTCTATAATTGACTTAAGCATAGGAGAGTCTACCATCGGGAGACACCCGAGGCTTTGTCTTGCAGGTTTTAGGCCGTCCGCCGCCGCCTATATCATCATCACCGTCCGTCCTAAGGCACCGTGCAGATCCATGCTTCGTCAAGTGGCATGCCCAGTGGGACTTATTTGTTTAGTCCTTACAACTGAATAAATTTCTTGAAAAGAAGCCGAAATTTATTAGTTCTTCATGGTGTCTCAATTCGAGAACCGAAAGTAAAGATCAAGAATTAGGAAATTTTTGTAAAGCTGCCAGCCGTCGACTTTTACGTCAACCTCCTTCAATCGACGACCATATCGACGGTGGTGTTGTCGACTTCTTTATCAAGTTACTCCATCCGACGAAGAGACTCACAAAGTCGCTGTCGACTTCCATGCCAACCTAAACAAACCAACGAACAGGCCGACAAGGGGCAGGAGGATCAACCGAGAAGAATTTCGGCAATTTTAAAACATTTAAAATTCAGCCCCTATATTTTTTATCTTATGGTTGATTAATCCTAATACTTTTATAATTTTGTAGATTATCTCTCTTAATCTTGAAGCAAAGGGGCAATCTCTGATATTGAAGTTTTGAGAGATACATCTCCTCGAAAGGATAAGCATCCCTCGAGCACCTTACTACTACTCGAAGTGTTCGAGAAGACGTATCTCGACTTTCATCTACTCAAATGCTACCTTCTCGGAATCAAGGCAACACCTTCTCGAATAATCAATTTATCTCGAGATCGAGGTACTTCTCAAACCTTTCTTAATATGTTTCTCGAATCTAAGTCTATAAACTGCTATTCTTGCCATAAGCATATTACTTACATCATATAACAATATCTTTTTGATACATGTCATGCTATATTGCATCCTCGAGCATCCAAACATATAGGGCCACCCTTCAAATTAGGCATTGGGGACTACCCCGCATCAGAAAGGAACCAAAAGACCCGCTAGACGGGCACGAGATTTAAATAAAGACCTGCTTGACGGGCACGACCCACAAAGACTCACTATTCTCGAGAAGACATCAACACTCGTAGCAACCCATATTCTTCTCATCGAATCTCGAGAATATAGCTTGCTAGGGGCACTTGACGAGTCCAGATTGAACCATAAACTTATTGGGCTTAGGATTAGATTACTTAAAGACTAAGTCACCACCTAAACCTATTCCGATTAGGTTTACAGAAACAGGTAACACTGCCTCTATATAAAGAGGTGGTGCCTCTCCCATAATATATTTTCTACCTATCTTTTACCTCTATTTTACACATGCACACAACCTCTCTCTATTTTCTCTATTCTATTATTGACTTAAGTATAGGAGTGTCTACATTTGGGAGACACCTGAGGCTCTATCTTGTGGGTTTTAGGCCGTCTGCCGCCGCCTAGATCATCATCGCCGCCCGTCCTAAGGCACCGTGTAGATCCATGCTTAGTCAGAGTTTATCATGTTAATCCAAAATCCACGAAAATTATTCTTCGTTTCAGCCAAGAAAATGAATTCATAAATCGTAGAAGAGAGTGTTGTTTGTTTTGGCATTCGGGATAACTATTGATTGGTGATATATGAGTGAATGCTAATTATAAGGATAAGAAATTGATTCTTACCGAGATCCTTGCCAAACACCAAAATACAATAATTCACTTCTAGTCTTGAAATTATTCCCTCAATTTTTATTCACTTAAAATTATACTCTTTCCGTCCAAGAAAATAGTTTACTATACAAATAAAATAAATTATTCTTTTCATATAGTGGGAATGAAAAAAATAAAAAAAATCCAAGAATTAGGGTAGTTGAACTAAGTAAAATAAATTCAAATGAGTTTTAAAATCCCAAATTACAATATTTACAGTAATCAAATATATCATGATATAAAAAAGTTATCTTCCGTCCCAAAATTATTGCCCAGTTTAGATGTTCATTTTTAGTTCAAATTGTACTAAAAGTAAATATTCAAATTGAACAATAATTTTGAAAAAAAAAACATTTCAATTTTCATGATATTCATTTCAATTGTGTTTGTTTTGTTTTTATTAGCGAATAAAAACTTTCCCAATTTTTGACAATTTCTTAATTAAGTCTCCTTTTTTTTCATTTTTTTTTTAAAGTCTTCCCTTTTGTTTTTTTGTTGACAATTTTCATTGGGCTAGAGCACGAGGAAAGCCCAATATTTTTTCTCCCCTGAAACCCAGACCAATTTCGATGTGGCACACTACTAGTCGTAAGGCTCTGGAAATTTCGTGCTCCGCACACACACAGAAGTAACCGCCTGGTATAATATATATATTTTCTTGGAGAAAAGGAAATGTAAGCAACTCCGGTTTATACACATGTAAGCAAAAAATTTCTCAAAATAGTGTTTTTGTGTGTTTACTATTAACACAATAGTATTTTATTTCTCCCCATTGTTCGTAGGGCATCCTAAATCATCATCGGCGACTTCGTCGTGCTCCTCACTCAGCCGCCATCGCTGTTCTCTCTCCCCCCAAATCTTATCCATTCTTGAGGTAATACCTACATTGATCTGCAAATCCCACTTTCGATTTCTCGTTTTGTTGACCCAAATTGTGGTTATTAGTGATTTATTTGGCTGTGTGGAATTCCCGGAGATATTTTGTATGTGATTCGTTTTTTTTTTTTTTTTGTCTGTTCTGGGAAATGGGTTTTTCATCATCTCTAAAACCCTTAATTTCGTTGTTGATGGCTGTTTTCTCTTTCAAGCTTGGTGTTCTCAAGAGGATGTATTCGTACGAGTTTTTAGTTTTAATGTTCTTCCGGAAGTGTAAATTATGGTTATTATGCCAAACAAGTAGCTCAGTGATTGTATTTCTAGACGGTTGTGATGTTTTTTCGATGAATCATTGGTGATTGCTGATTATGGATTGTACCCTTTTACCCATTTATCTAATTTCCCTGAATTATGTAACATAATTGCCTCGTGGGTGTCGTTGATCTTTTGGCTTCTTCTTTGCTTAAGTTGTTTGAATGAAGAACTGAATGGGAGGTCTCTGAATTTAGTTGTTGAAATCTGGTTTTGGTGTTGTTTTATGGATCTATTTGTATATACTGTACCAGCAATTTAAGACTTTTGTTAGGCATTTTGGTTGTTCTGCTGAAACTATAACGCTAAATTTGCCGTCATTAAAGGGCCTGCTGCCTTTTTTCTTGATGTGAAATGATGCTCTGAATAGATTAGTGGTGAATTGCGATTTAGTTGGATATGTATTCTTTACTCGCTGCTTCATTTTGGTTATGTAGATAGAAACTATCTGAAAGATAATCTTTGAAAATTCTTTTTAGCTAACTCTGCATCCCTTTTTCTGCTATTGATCCAGTTTGCACTGATAGGCTGCAATGGTGAGGGCATACTCACAAGAGCACACTTACAGACACCCGTGGGAGAGGGTGACTACTGCATCTTGGCGCAAGTTTGCTGACCCTGAAAACAAGCATACACTGTCTCACATCCTTGAAGTGGACACACTGAACCAAAAAGTTGACCCTCATACAGGGAAATTGCATACAACTCGAGCCTTGACCATCCATACTCCTGGGCCTTGGTTCCTTCGCAGAATCATTGGTCAAGAGATTTGCCACTGTGTTGAATCCACAGTTGTTGATGCTGCTTCCCGGTCCATGCAACTGTCTACTCGGAATATTAGTCTTCAAAAGTTTGTTGAGGTGGAAGAGAAAATCCGTTATGAACCCCATCCTGAGAACCCCACAGATTGGACAATCTGCAAGCAGGAGACCAGCATTCGCATTAAACCATTGTCAGCACTGGCATCGATGGCAGAGAAGATTGAACAGAAATGTGTGGATAAGTTCCAACAGAATAGTGCCAAAGGTAGGGAAGTAATGGAGAGGATCTGTAAGTATCTTGAAGCTGAATCTAGGGGGATCTCGATTTAAGTAGCTCATCTGTAGAATGTGTAGTGTTTCCTAGTATTTCCAGTTGTACCTCTTGAGAGCAAAAATGTATTAACCGATGAGTCTAGTGGCAGGAAGTTTGGGATAGAGCCTTGCCTCAGCTCATAGAATGTAGCTGTAATAAAGTGAATTATACTAGTTCTGTCCTTAAGCCTTCGTTTTCAGAGTGGCTGAGTTTTTTGTTGAAAACATGAAAACTTGGATGATCTGAAGTTTCTCGTGAAATGCTTTGTTGTTTCTCTAGAATATGAAAATGCCCGTCTTGATCAAACTAGTTTAACATGTGAGATCCTTAGGATGATGATCATGTTGTGTTTTGCTTGGTTTGAGATTTTGAACCTTTGAGTTAAGTGAATTTTGAGATGCATCGGAATGAATAGTGGGAGCAGTGTCATGTGATCATGTATAATGGATGTGATGAGCATAACTACACTGTCTTTTTTTTTTTTTTTTTAATCCCACTCGACTATCTTTGCGACTTTTGCCGGTTTATGAGCCTGCAGAGTTAAAACTCAAAATTTTCCAGGAGGTTCCTGGAAAAGTATATTTTTAAAGAACACATTTTAATGTCATTCTATACATCAGGTATCAACTAAACATACAGTGAACTTCGAAAGCTTGACTTGCATTACAAAGAGATCAGATTAGAACTTTATCCAGTGTCAAATGTGTTGTAATTAACCAAAATGATGATTAAACTTTTAGAATTGATATAAGACTTATTTAGGTGAGAGGCTGAAGCAAAATAAGGCACTTAGAAGAACTTAAAAAGTACAACCTAATAACTTGGACATTGAAAGAGTAGACAGCATAGACTCCAAGTTACAGAATGAAACAGCAGGCTTCATAGCCAATATCATCTCTGGATGATCAATACAAGATTTAGCATTTAGAACGCGGGACAACCGCGGACCACCATTCCGGGTTGTGTAGGACATTTCGTCAATGGACAACGGTCATCACCGTCCTGTCCCCACCATTCTGGAACAATATTTCTGGACTGAAGTGCAAAGTAAAGCAGAATTCCCATGAATGCAATTCCAGCATCAAGTGCAGCGCTTAGGATGTAAGCATGTTTACCCCACCAACCTTTGAATTTCCGAAAGAGATAAACGTTGAAGTAAATCCCCACCGCACCCCACATTATGTAATTCACTGATCTTTTTGGTGGCATCCCTGATGCAGCACTAATGAATAGAGGCATGTGTATAAGCTTGATCCACTTCTTCTCCGGAAATCTGCGCGAAAAGTACCAAACAGGAACAGGAGCCAGAATCCCAATGAGGAAGAAGTAGTTCAACTGCGAGTAAATTCCATCTTTGGTGAACACTTTCTTAGGACCAATCACTCCCCATATGATTGAAGCATTGTAGAATACTGTGTCTCCTGGACATGTCCAAGGGCTACCCTTTAGGATGTTGTCTGGACTGCACATGTTAGGAATGGAGGTTAGAAGCCACCAAGCCGTGGCGAATTGGATGGAAGATGAGATAAGTGTCCCAACTATTTGAACTAAGAACATGGATCTAGGAGGGATTTTCATGTAATGTCCAACTTTGAAATCACTCAGAAAACCCAAAGCCTGAACCATGCTATATTCACCGTATGTCTTGAATGTAACATTCGCCAAAGGTCGTCCAGGATAAATGAATCCGATGATCATTTCCGTGATGACATTTAAGCCAGGTTGCAGGTTTGTGGTAGCTTGAATTATTCCGATAGGCAAAGTCAAAACCCAAGCTATACCGCATGCCAGTATCAGTCCCCACCATGGAAGTTGGAGTTGTCCACCAAAACCTTCACAGCAAAGGAGAGATAGGCCGAAAGCCACAATCAATATACTGCGAAACCACCAATCAGGAACTGTTTGGTAGTTCTTTTTCATGAGCCTGGTGTGTATATCTCCCATTTGGCTCTTCAATCCAGCGGCTGCTTTGAATGTCAGCTCCCAAATCGTCCCCGAATAGAACAGGCAAACGTGTGATATTGTCGCTGCCAAAGTCGCGAAACTCAGGCCGTACGTGGTGGCGAAGAATGTACTTATATAAAGTTTGCTGTAGTTTTGGTACCCATCATCTCGAAACTTGAAAGTTTTCTCGTCCAGAACACGGGAGATGTTGTACACATTCCCGGCCGAGTCATACGTCCGCGCAGAATACATTGGAAACGTCTTGGCGTTATACACATTATTGTAGTACAAAGCTGGGATGATTATGTAAACAATCAACAGAAATCCAGCCAAAGTGTTCAAGATGGCAAAAGGTGGATAGGCTATTGGACTTCCAAGAAAGCTTACAACAGTGTTCCAATCCAGCGCAAATGACCCGATTCCTAAACCACTTAAACCAGAACCGATCTGTTGAGCAAGTACTGATTTCTTCCAAATCAAACAAACCACAGATACGCAAGATATGTAAGGGAAGAAGTATCCAGGTACGACGTAATAGGCGAAACTCAAAATCAACACGATTAGGAAGAAATGTAGCCTAGGAAGTCCACCTTTTGGTCTTATTTCCTTTACATGAAGGGCCTGAAACAGAGAGACTGAAACGAGATTACTCGGCCACCACATGTAAGGCGAATCGACCAGAATTTTCCTATGCATCCCGGCCCAACCGTACCCGAGAAACATTGTAGCCTGTGAAAGAAGGTAAGCTGCCAGAGGATTCAGTTTCCTGTGGTAGAAAACCTTGACACTGGAGACAATATACAGTGCATAAACACCATTTGTTCCGCAATTCGCTAAAATCGTGATCAAAACATGCTCTTTGATATTGAATGGGCCAGGATTCAATGATAACGACCAGCTGGTAAGGGGAAGACGAATCTTTACATCTGGCAATGTGGCTGCCATTAGCCTTCCAAGTGGAAGAGTTAAGATTTGTGCTGACAGCGTTCCAACACTCAACGGGTTTTGCCGGTACCCGAAAAATGTGTTGACAAAAGCTAGAATGGCGCATGATAATATCCCGAGAATCCATGTCCTGATTGTTAAAACTGGAAGAGTTGGATCATCAGTTGGTGGAACTGTAAGCCTAACTTGTTCAATTGGAGAATCATTCTCTTGATCCTGCTCTGTTTCATCACTAATTTTTCCAGGATTCTTTTCCTTGGTTTGCTCAAAAGAAGGAACTATTTCCTCATTGTTATGCCCCATAAGATTCTTCTGTATTCTGGGATTATAGCAAAAAAGAATAAGTCAATTTCCAAACAATTTGATGTCAAATTGCTGAATGCATCGCCTGATTGACGTTCAAATCCCTTCTTTTTTCTTTTGTTTCATTTATAGATTGGCGAAAAGTTGTCTATTTTTAGTTCAAAGATATGTACACCGTTTTGCGACTCTGACAGGTTTGTCTGAAAGTGTAAGATGCTCGGTTAATGAAAAACTGGCATTTTAGAACGTGTAAAACAAGAAGAAATACTTTGAAAAAACCCCCTAACTCTGAGTAATCAGGTGGAAAAATTCCATTTTTGCTGTTTAATATCCGAAACTCAGCATCTTGGAACTGATTGTAGTTACTTGGATGGATTTAGTGACTGGAATTTGAATAGACATCATGGAGTTTCATTGGTTTTATACGTTCGTATATTTCTTATCAGTCATTTCTGTCTTTCGTTTTCAAACTTAATCAGCCTGTCAATTCATTGAGCACTATAAGGCAGCTTTTTTTTTTTTTTTAACTTTTCTAGTTATGGTTTCTCTGTGATTCTGAATCAGATATGTCTAGGTAGGGGAAAAAAAAAAGAAAAAAAGAAAAAGAAAAAAGAAATCTTGAACATAAACTCCGATCACAGGTTGTAATCGAGCCATCTTTCTGAATTCTGATATGTGACAATTTCACCTTTGTAATGGTCGCTTGACAAGTTCATGTAAATCTGAAAAATCCATTTCAGTACTAAAACAAAATCTTCCGCAGATAAGTTGAAGGAAAACTGTACAGTCGAAAAAAAAGTCCTGGACAAGCTTAGATAAAGTACTACTCCTTTGGTTTAATACTCATCGGGTTTAATACAGATTTCTCAACAGTTCATCGCAACAAAAGAGGGGAAAATTTCTCTTACTTTTCTCTGCACGGTTCCAAAGGTGAAAATTTCTCTTACTGTTCTTAGAGTTGAAAACCAGCATATCTAAGTGTGTCAATTCGAGTTATCGGATCAAATCCAAATTATATATATAAGAAGTATAGCACAAATATAATCAAAACACGAATCGGGTTGATTGTGTCGGAAATTGACACCCCTAAATCTTACTCATATCAAAATGCGCATTTATGACAACTCTTCACTTCACACACACATTTATCTCTTCATGGAATGGAAAAATCGCTAGTTCGCCCGAGAAATTTAATTTTAAAAATATTTCACAGCCCAAACAGACATTTCAAATTTTTGGAGCCAGAATTTAAATTTACCTCTAGCTCCACGATTTGAGGCGACATATTCTAGCTCGATTGATCCACTTGAGCAACAAGACCAGCAGCGCTAGATATCAACGCTACGTAATCCAAGAACTTGGTATGTACTTCATTTAATCCTATAAAAGCCAACTATATCCTCATTATAACATGGAAAGTCGTTCTTGAAGCATCAAGGATTTAACTCAGTCGCGCCCTATCAACCAAAAAACATTGAACTTCAACAGTTGGACTTCACATGCATTATACACGATTTTGAATGCTTAACCTCATCGTACTTGATTGAAATGATAATGGAGATTTTAGAATTCGAACTTCGAACGTTTTGGGATGAAAGGTCATAGCAAATTAAGGGATTTAAGGAGGAGTTTATAAGTACACCCCAATAACTTGGGAAATGATTGAAGACCTGATGAGAATGGTCTTCAAGTTTCAAAATAAAATATTTTGCATACAGCCACAATATAAAATCATGTCTTAATGGTGGCTACAAGATTGATAGAAATCAGAAAACAGGACAACCGTCGGCCCTAATTCCAGGTTGGGTCGGACAAGTCGCCAATGGACAACGATCATCGCTTTCTTGTCCCCACCAATCTGGAACAATGTCTCTGGACTGAAGTGCAAAGTAAAGAACAATACCCATGAATGCAATTCCGGCATCAAGTGCAGCACTTAATATGTAAGCATGTTTAGCCCACCAATCTTTGAATTTCCGGAAGAGGTAAACATTGAAGTAAATCCCCACTGCACCCCACATTATGTTATTCACTGATCTCACCGGTGGCATTGCACCAGCACCACTGATGAATATGGGCATGTTTATCAGCTTGATCCATTTCTTCTCGGGATATTTCCGAGAAAAATACCAAATTGGAATAGGAGCCAGGATCCCAATCAGGAAGAAGTAGTTCAAGTTTCCGTAAATGCCATCTTTGGTGAACACTTTTTTGGGACCAATCACTCCCCATATGATTGAAGCATTGTAGAACACTCTGTCCCCTGGACAGGTCCA